GGAATGAAGCATTTCCGGAACATTTCGGTGGATGACGCGAATATTTTGTGCTGGCAGGGACTCATTGTGCGTGTGAGTGCGGACTGTGCACACACACACACACACACACACACTGCCCCCCAATAACAAGTAGTGACATATAGGACTACTAACAATTATTTTAGTTATCTGATTTTTGTAACAATTGGATAAAAGCAAACTGGCACTTTTTGTAGATTTCTCATTTAGGTGTTTAAAATATAATATATTTTTAAATAAGATAAACAATTTATTTTCTAAAGTGCAATAACGACATTCGTTTAGGAACACCTGATCATTTGTAACACAGGATGAATCTGCAGCTGAAACAGTCCTAACATCAACATGTGAAAAGCCTTTTCCATTTGACTCGGGATCAACAGCATCTGACTGATCCGCTGATTATATATCAGATTATTGATTGATAAATTGATACTAAAGTTGCTTAATAGGAGATTTTTATTTTTTACAGAATTTGAACCAAATGAAGCTAAAACTTTGCCACTTGAAAGGTTTCTCAGTTGAACATATTTACAAAGTTCTTTTTTTAATCATAATTGCAAACTGTTTATTTTTTTGTAAAATTTTGGCTTACTCTGAATATGTTCTTTCAACAAATGGTTTTTTTTTAGTCTGTATACTCTAGTTAACAATTAATCCAGGTGATGATTATTTCAGTAATTGATTAATCATTTTTACTATCGGCTTATTTTCCAAAGATCATCGTTGTTAATTAGCTATTTGCCAGACTAACTTGAACTCCAGCTTTTTCCTTGTCAGATCCAGTCCTCTGTCCTCTGTGTACTCTAACTCTCTGCCTGATTCTGTCACCTTGTTGCTCTGCTGCCCCTCCATGTTGCTGTTCTCCGGGTTCCTTCAACAATAATACAGCCAGTATGTTAGACAGAGATAACATTCGGGTTATTACAGGAAGAACAAACGAGACAGTTCTATCAGTCTCATTAGAACTGCTACAACAGTCACATGACAGGCTTGTCTTCTTACTCATCCTCCAGAGGAATGCTGCTGCTGCTGCTGCTGCTCATGAGCTCAAGTTACACATTAGTGCAACAGTCACTGCACCTGTTACTTCTGAGTTATTCCAGCTGATTCCGTTTCACATATTATTTATTTCTTTAAGTGTTGTTTAACCCATTTCAAGAGCCGCATTAAACAAAGCAGTTACAAAATATTGCATATAAATAACACACAAAGACTATTTAATAAACCTTCACATTTATGCTGTCCTGGTTTAACTTTTTTAATCTAACTCGCCATCATGGCCTTTAGAGGAAATGAGAAAGCAGATGAGTTAGCTGATAGACGTTATCTGTGAAGTATCAATTACACTTTCTTAGAAGTTGAGATATTTGTTGTTTGTTTAGTTCAGCGTTTCTAAGCAGAAATAAAAAAGACAACTATTGTTTTTTTCCTTTTGAAGAATATAATATTATGAAGAGATTTTGCATATATTATGAGAATAATCTCTAAACAGATGATTTTTGCTGGTGGTATGGTTGGGATGATTATATTTGCTGTTTGAACATCCTCTCCACTCCCCAACGTTTAGATCCCCAAGCCTCAATATATTAGAAAACTTTCTTTAACTCGATTATTGTTAGTTGTTTAGAGGCTATACCGAATTATATCTCTTTATTCATAATTATTTAAATTTGTTTTGCCCCATCCAGAGCAGAGAACATTCACAGCTTGGTTGGGACCTGAAGGCAAAGTGAAACAAACTGCAGGTTTCCAGAGCGTGACAAGTGGTCCGGCAGTGGCTTGTAGCCCAGTTCTGTTTGCTTTACTTCATAAAAATCATGTCGGCTATAAAATGTGTTGCCACTACTTCCTGTTGAGTGTTGATGCTCACATAATGAAGCACCAACACTAATCCTGCATTCTGAGTTTTCTGAGTCAGTGGGATCATTGCGATGTTTTTTGGTTTATTGTGAGTCGGGCCTTTATTGTTGTGATCCGTGTTTTTCTGTGTAGTTATTTTGAGGTTTTCTGTGTTTAGTCCCGTTTCCCTGTGAGTCCCATCTTCCCTGTTGATTGCTCCCAGCTGTGTCTAGTTCCCTGATTACCCTCCTTGTGTATTTAACCCCACCTGTTGTCTCTGTCCTTCGTTGGGTCCACGTCAATGTTGCGTCTATTGTTCATCATGTTTTCTGCCAGATTCCTGTGTTCCTGAGTTGTCTGCATTAAACTACTGCCATTATCTTTACCTGGGCTTACAAGCATCTTCCTCACCACCAACACCAAATCATGACATTTATGTTCTTTCTGGTCAGTGTGGTTTCATCGATGTTCAGTCTCTTTCTTGTCGCAAAACTGTGACCTTAACTGAGCCAAGTGGCACCTGCAGTGCTGTGGCTATAGTTCTGGTATTTCTGGTAGGTCGGTCACTCCCAGGAAAAGCCACCACTGTTCCAAGTTTGTTCATTTGTTTTTTAAAGCCTTATAGAAAGGCTTTGCAACCTTTTCCATACTGATGGCTGCCTGTGAATTTGTTCTTGTATTTCTGTGCATTGTTCAGATCAATAAGCATGAGGTGTTGCATTTGGAGATCAACTTCATGTTTTCAAAATGGTTTACAAATTAGGTCTTTACTATAATTATGTTAAGTCAAGCAGAAAGTGTTGAGCTTTTCACATATTGATGTTAGAAGTAATTTTTTTAGATGCAAAAATGACTTGGAAGAAAAATCTGATAAATCGTGAGATTAATTGATTGATTTAATCAATAGTTAAAGTATTTGTTAGTTGCCTGGTGAAAAACAACTTGGTTTTCAAAAAATGTGATTTATTCATGTTTTAACACTGTGCCACAAGTTGCATGTGTGAAGCAACAAAATTTTACTGGTGTGAAAACCAAAATGACTGAAAAACAATTTTCTCATTAAGCTCCTGGAAGAAAATCGTAATAAATGTTTGTCCTTTTTCAATTAGTGGGAAAATTTTTTTTGGTTTTAGGAAAGTTCTCTTTAAAATCTGCAAATCCTTTTTTTCCTCCCCAATCCAGGACTCTCCTCCGTATGACAAAGGAGCCTTTCGGATTGAGATCATCTTCCCTGCAGAGTATCCCTTCAAACCCCCCAAGATCACCTTCAAGACAAAGATATACCATCCTAACATCGATGAGAAGGGTCAGGTGTGTCTGCCCATCATCAGCGTGGAGAACTGGAAGCCGGCCACAAAAACATGCCAAGGTAAGAAGAGGAAGCGGGTTTTTCATGCAGAGGCCCTTAAGGGACACAGGGGACTGATTTTTCCCTTGCGTTTCCTCGCATTAACATACTAGTCAGTTCTTGACTACTGGAGCTGTTTGTGTTGTAATGTAAGGCTTTTGTAAGGTTTTCCAAGTGTCTTGTTAGTGACATGTGAAGCTTTATGTATTTGTTTCTTGTTTTTTGTTTTTACAAACGCACCACAAACTTTTGTGCAAAATGCAAAAGCAAAACCGACTGAAACCTGCTTTTTGTTGCTCTCCATTCCCTCTGAGACACAAACAGAAACTCTCTGTTCTTGGGTAATATTCATCGGAGAGTTTTGGTTGGGTCTTTTTTGTTTTGGTAGTCTGACTTGAGTCCCATCTCAGCCTTACACAAACACCAACACACAGTGGATAGATCGACGTTTTCAGTGAGTGTCTTTCAAATTGACATTTATCGCTGTTTACAAAGTAAACCAGGGTGTATTTGCTAACTTTACCAGAAGAAAAAGATTTCCCCATGTCCTCTATGGGGCTCCGTACTTTCAGAACTCCTCTGCTGCTGACGGTGGAGCTTTATCATTATTACTTTTATTAACGTTTTCGTTTTGTTGTTGCTGCCTTTCAGTGATTCAGTGTCTGATCGCTCTGGTGAACTCCCCCCAGCCGGAGCACCCGCTGAGGGCCGACCTGGCGGAGGAGTACACTAAGGACCGCGCAAAATTCATGAAGAACGCCGAGGAGTTCACAAAGAAACACAGTGAAAAGCGACCTGTGGACTGATGACACGACGACGACCTGCACCTGTTAGCCTCCTTTCTGTTTTCTGATCGAAGACCCCGGCCTGACTCTCTGTTCTTAGCCCCCTCCCTCTTCCCCCTGCGTTTCACAAAGATGCCCCCCCACCCCACCCCACATTCTTGTGTACCTGCAATGTTTAGCACTCTCCAACCAATCTTTAATAGAGGCTTGTGTTTCTGTTTTACTTTGCCAAAAACAAAAAAGAAAAAAATCAAAGCAGGACTTTTTGGTGAGTAGGCAGCTTCTGGCCTCTAGGTGTCATCTTTTGGTTGTTTTTGACTTCTTTCTATCGATTTCTTTTTAGAAAAAAACAATAAATTGTCTGAGGTGGCATCTTGAAGGTTAAATTAATAATAATAATAAAAAAAGTGCTTTTCTTAGTGCTTACTTAAATGTTGAATGTTATCTCAGATGACACAGTTCTTATTTCCATCTTTTTAGGCTTCCTTTCCAAATTTAACAGCATCTAAAGCCGTGTTGTTGTTTTATTTCCTCTTTCTTTCTCATCATCCACCACACAGTTGGAATAAAATCAGAACTTGTTGCCGATAAAGCCCAAATGTAAAACGAAGATAATGACCATGCAGCATTCAGGTGTCATTTAAATCATTATTTTGTATTTTAAGGGAAATTATTCCTTCGAAATAAAATATTTCCACCTCTTTTGGCCTCTGGAGAAGTGGTAAAACTACAGCATGGAGTTGTCTTGGATTCATGTCTGGCTGAAGAAATGGAGAGTTATTGATATATCATCACCTTCCTAAAATAATAGAATAAGTTTGTTTTTTTTTTTTGTTTTTTTTGCCCAAAGTGTCTCTTTTTCCTTTTTTGTCAAAATTGCTTTTGGCATAAAACGACATAGGCCTCTTTTTGTTTTTTGTTTTTTTTGTTTTTGTTTTAGGAAAGTGATGACATTAAAACTAAAGGGATCCAAACATCTGATGTAATAGAAAGTGAAACTAGTCAAGTTGTTTTTAATTTTTTTTTATTAAAGTCAGGGTAATCCTTAACTTGAGGTAGACTTTTCTGCAGGTCATGTCGAAGATCTTGTTTTTTTTTTTACCCTGAAGATGTATAATCTTTGAGACATCAGCCTCTAGTGGTAGAGCCAAGGTTCTCCTTCACATGTTCGGCTCTCACTTCTTGAACATAACCAGCGGAGCGGGCACCTGGATGTCCTGGCCCTTTTCCAGCTTCTTCTCACACTCGATCAGGTAGTTGACCCCGTTGACCACCAGCTGAACCAGCTCCACCTAAATTGCAACAACCCAAAATGTCACTTCACCGGCAATAACGCATGTAGACCACAGGAACCGGAAGGAAGGCTCACCTCGGATTTGCCCAGACGGTCCAGGTTGGAAATGTCGAAGGTGTCTCCAGTGGCCGCCGTGTCGACCCCGCCCGTGCCTCGCTTCTGCAGCCGCAGGTTGTCCAGGATTTTGGAGAAACGTGGGTCCTGCAGGGCAAATGGAGACACAAGTCACGACTTGTTTAAAAATAAAACTACATAAATGAATGCAGTTAGTATGTTTTGTTTTCTTAACATAAAGGGACATTTTAGGCCGTTTAAAAAAAAAATACTGCAAAGTTAAACATTCTATGTTGGCTGCTAAATGACTAAAAATTAACAACACAGTGGGGGGGGGGGGGTTTGTTTTTTTCTTTGTAGGTCTATTTTGTTGCTTTGTGAAGGAGAGGAAAATTGCATCTCCTTTCTAATCAGGAATGAATAAATCGATGTTAAATACAGAAAATTTCAACTAGAAACATTTTTTCCCTACCGCTTTGGCGCCCCCTCTGGCGCAGCGCCCCCATGCGTCCTATTTAATGCATAGCCACTTCTTGCTCCGCTGTTTCTGAACAGTTTATCCCAATATTTTTCAGACATGTGCAGAGAGAAAACTGTTGCACATCATCACTCTGAACACTACCTCATGTAGTTGGGAGCATCATGGTAGCTGAGAAAGAACGAAGATAGAGATGAATACAGAGAAAACCTGCACAACACTTTAAACAGTCCCTTCATTAAATTACGATTGTTTTTCTTTCTGCTTTTTTGTTTCGTTTGTGATGCCACTTTAGAAATATTTGTAAAGAAGTGTGCGCTTATTGCGGCAAATGTGACTTTTTATCGATCACAGACATAGAAGTTAACGGGTAATACTGAGGCAAGCAGTGTAGTAGAAGTAAAATGCTGCCACCTGCAGGTGGTTAGCTGTCACATCAGCTTGTTTTAACATTTTTTTTCTTGTGAAAAATTGGCAATCAACTGTCTGAGTCAGAGTGATCTTCAGCTGTTTTGTAGAGAAGAACAAACATGGCAGAGACACGACCCAAAAAAGTGGCAAGCAAAGCTGGTTCAATGAGCCGTTGTCTCAGTAGGATCTTGTAAACCATGTACTGTTTGCCTGGCACTCTACCATCCTGAAGAGCAGGAATGAACATGGATAAAAAAAAAAAAGATAAACCTGATTGACAAACACCGACTCGTTAGGTTTAACCGATGTCGCCGAATCCCCCAGAGAAGTGAAATAATGAAGGCCGTTAACAGAGCATGCTGGTGTTGGGTTGGCCGCGTCACCTTGCTGAGGTTTGGTAGGCGGACATGAACCCCGGCCCTCAGGCCTGTGCCCAGGTTGGACGGGCATGTGAGGATGTATCCCAGACGCTCGTTCCACATGAACTCCCAGCCTCTCTCCTGGATCAGATGCTCAACCTGATCCATAGAAAGAAAATATATGAATGTGATACTTAAAAATATACTATTAACATGAGAAACAGTTCTACAAAGACCCAAGTGAGAAAAACTACCACCTTAAAATGATTTACTCTTGTGCACTGAAACTTCACAAAATCTTACCAAATCGTTTTGGTCTACTTTCTAGTGCAAATATATTAGTATACTTGAACTTGTCTTAAGTCAATAATTCCTTAATACTGATATTGATACCTATATCAAGACATTTTCCCCATGTTATAAGTGAAAAACATCTGCCAATGGAGTTAGTGGGTTTTTTTACATCAATGTTAAAGAATTATTAAATTCAAACAAAATCATATATCTTTCTGAAGTTACTTTTAAGTTAGTTTTGTCTTATTTCAAGCGTACTAAGGCACTGGCAGTAGAAGCTAGACAAAAAAGGTTTATTGTTTTTGCGTTGTGGCTCCATCATGCCTGTTTGAGGCCGCTGCAGAATCTCTCGAACACTCTCTTCATGTTGCCGCCCTTCTCCATGGAGATGACTCTGGTGTGGTCTTCCTCGTTGACCCAGATCAGGAAGGTCTTATTATTATTGTGCCTGAAGACAAGAAACCACAGACACTTAAGAAGTACCCTGTTCACCAGGTGAGAACAGAAAAACTACAGTTCACCCAACGATTAGCACAAGAAATCGTACTAAATTGGCGACAGACAGTGAACTCAAGCATCCAGCTGTGTGGACCGTACCAGATCCCCCTGGCGTCTGGCCAGTCTCTGGCCATGAAGGCGCACGTCAACAGAGGGGAGACGGGCTTGTCGAACAGGAAGTGGTCCTACAGATAAAAAGGTAGAGAGGCAGCAGGATGTTAAAGAACAACTTCTATTTATTCATTTAGCTGGCAGAGGGAGGGATGTGCAGGTATAGTGCTGTAAAACAGTCAGATTTCTTTTACTTTCACTTTTTTGAATGTTGAAAGAAATTTCAATATGTGACAAAGATGACCTGCGTAAATACAAAAACTTTTTTTTTTAATTATTGTATTCATTAAAGGAAAAGACGCTATCCAAACCAACTTGACCCTGTTAGGTTTAAGTGATAAAATAATTGCAATAAAACTGCAACATTCAGAGATAAACTTCACAAACCATTAATAACAAACGATGACTTTGTTTTCTACTATTTTTGATTTTTTTTTCACACATTGTGTTGCTTTTTGAGATCAGAGACGTTCTTTTTCTATGATCTGTTATATATACTGAAGTTTGACTCATGAATCTGAGCTCAGCTTTCTAAAGAAAACAGTTTAATCACATTTAAATCTTGATTTCAGAGACAACTCTTTCTCTTTACTGAATGAGTTCATAAGTTGAACATGATGAGCTCTCTAGAATGTACTTTTTCACAGCACATTCTAGAAATGTGAATCTTTCAGTGTCCAGCAGTTCAATTCTATTTTGATTGTTAGGGTCACCATTCAATTCAGAAACAGTTTTCGATTCAAAAACCAACAAATAGAACATTAAATTAAAAACACTTCTGTAAAGTTCCAGATTCTATATCAGTATATCAAACTTCACGTAACACGGGACATTTACGGGAAAATACTAATACAGGAGCATAACGAGAAAGAGGGATAAAAACTGTAGTTTCCTGGCCAAAACAGGAGACGTGACAGGTATGTCATACAATTCTGTAACTTAAATTACCAGTATTAGGTTAGCTTGGCTGCTGGCTCTGCCTCAAATAAAAAAAATACCAAAGAATTATTCAAAATCTGTACATTAGGCAAGATTCCCTTCTATGGTGGCTGAGTGGGCGTGTAATTCGACGTGCCGGGTACTTGCAAAAGAGCAGGAAAAATGTACGACTTAAAACGCATTTTAAAATCAACTTTTGAGCATCTGTTCCTCCTCCATATCTATGCATTCGCAGCGTCTCTGACTCACATCAATAAGCTGCTGCTGCTCTTTCTCTGTCATGTCGCCCAGGCTGTAGTAGCGGCCGGCGAGGTCTCCCTTTAGGCCGGCCAAAGCGGTCACCACCACCCGCTCCACTTCACGCCGCTCAGCCCTGGAACAGGCCGGGGGGAGGCTCAGCCCGCGAATGCTGCGGCCCGTCCGGACGCGCGACGACAGAACGTAGTTCTCGTCGAACATCCCGTGTTTTAGCTGAAGGCAAAAGAAGAGACGACGAAGACGCCAGTGAGTGGTTTTATTAGCGTCTGGCCGGTAACACAGAACGGGTCAGCTGTGGTTCCACCTTAGAGGCGTCCAGGTCGGTGGGGTGTGTCATTTTTCTGGGATCGTAGCCGTTGTGTCTGTCTATGATTACCGGATCAAAGAGTTCAGCAAACACCTGGAGGAAACAGCAAAAGACTTGAGAGGCAAAACATTTACTAAATATCAAACATTAATATGTAGAACCTTATTGTGGCTGGAAGAAACACAGATGAAAGACACAACCTTTAACAACCATTAACAAGCAATGTTAAATCAGACTGTTCGTGTTTCAGGTTATTTATAATTACCTAAATTGGGTGGAAGCTGCAGTAACTTATATATATATATATATATATATATATATATATATATATATATATATATATGTGTGTGTGTGTATATATATATATATATATATATATATATATATATATATGTGTGTATATATATATATATATATATATATATATATATATATATATATATATATGAACTTATATATGAAACAGGGAAAAATGTTTCAGTTTTCCCTGCTCATGTGTTGGTCTCCCATGTTGCGTTACCTCGTAGCTTTCCTCGTCACCAGCGACGCAGCCCACCGTCTTAATAAAGGGGTGACCCGGGTTGTCCACCCCCGTCTGGATGCACTGGTCAAGGGTCCAGTTGTTGGGAGTCAGCTTGTCCCTCAGTTTGGCATAAATGGCCGGAGTCAGAGCGGTGGCCATGCAGTTGTTGTGTTTCCTCAGGTCGGGGAAGTCTGAGCTGTCAGGAAGGAAGAGGAAGAAGAAATGAACAAGAGAAGAAAAACAGAACGACAGAAGAAACAGAAAGGAGACGGAAGAAAAGATAAAACATGTTCCTGGTGCAGCATGTTTCCTGGCAGAGCGTCCTGAACGGCTCTGATTCCACATTTAAGTGTTTGAAAGCCTGCTGCACCGTAACCGTTATTTCAGTGACGATTAATCGAGCAGTCGGGGAAAAGAAAAAAAATTATCGGCACACTATTCATAATTTTCATTCATACATTTGAAATGCATAAAAAATGCAAATAAACAACTAAGTTCCTATTTTAGTGAAGCTAAAACTAATCCACTATTTCATTCTGGATAGAATGTTTCTAAACAAAGAGTTTTTTTAATTGTAAATGTAAAATATTTATATTATTTATGAACAGTTTTGGTTTAACTACCGAGTGTGTTTTGGAGATTGGATGTTTAATTCTGTATACTGTAGTTCACAATTATTTGATTGCTAAATTAGTTGACAATTATTTTTAATAATCGATTAATCACGATTAATCTAATTAACTGCTTCACCCACAATGTGATTTGTAGCCAGTCGTTAATTAATCAAATTCTCTTTGACCTCCTTATGTCATGTCAGTGAAGCGATCCAGGAAGAGACCTGAAGGTCACGATAAACACTCTGGATTCTCGTTTAAAATATAGAGTAAAATAAATCCGTTCATTCTCAGGATTTACAGGTTGAAGCTTTTCTTGAATTTGCTTCCCATCCACAGGGCGACTAGGAAAGGGAGACATGAGCGGCATCTGAAACCTTAAGAGAAAGTGAGTCAAAGGTAGCATAGATGAAACATGAGAGTGTCACTGGTCACGCAGGCATTTGCCGCTGCGTCAGTCGTGACCCCCAACCAACGCTCACCGTCCGCTGATGCAATCCATCTCTCTGAGTCTCAGAATGAGGCTATCACACCTGAATTCATGCTTCTAGGAAACGGAAAAGTTTCTGATGCTTCTGTACTTGGCCCCTCGTCGAGGTCGTCCGTCTTACCTGGGAGGGTAGAGCTTCTTCTTGGCCTCGGCAGCCAGGGAGCCGTTCTCGCTCAGCAGGACGCCAGTGGCCATGGTGCCCGCGCCCAGACTGGCCAGCAGCACGGCCGTGCTGCGGCCCGAGATCAGACGCCTGAAGGAGCCCGACATCTTTCCTCCAGAAAAGTACCTCAAGTACGGATCAGTAGAAGAAGAGCTAGAAATGCCAAGAAAGACAGAAACTGAAGGAGGAAATAGTAAAACGGCCCAAAAGCAGTTGGTAAGGTCTGTAAATTATGCAAATTAGCGGAAATAAATAACTGAATTGTTTTGTGAGCACATGCTGGATCACACTTGTAACTATTGCAGACTGTGACATTATTTAATATAATAAAGTTGTTAATGGAGTGGTGTTCAAACATTTTGTCACGTGAGCCGAAGCCATCGAGATGAAAGTAATTGAGGGCCACAAAATGTAGATATTTTTATCTATTTTAATTAAAAATGCAGTATCTTTATTTTTTTTTTATATGTATAAAACGTTTCTCTTTCACCTGAACAACTAGAAATAAAACACAATATTCTAATGAAATAAAAGAAGTCTGTCTTTTTGTAGAAAGGAAGCTGCAGGCAGTACATCTGAAACATGAATCATGAATCATAAACTGGTTGTTTTCTACTATGTTTATTCTTCTCAGTAAGAACAACAGGGTTTCGCTCAGTCTTAGAAAAACATCCCACGTTATTTAGTCGAGTTCACCAAACCGGTCGCCAAAATCTGTTCTTAAGTAAAAAACTGGCTGGATGTTGGTCGTCCTATTTGCTACAAAATTGAGTCAATGTGAAAAAGATAATTGATCAAAGATCAGTACTTTGTGTTGTTCTTTCCTTTTTTTAACCATATCTTTTTTAAAAGGCAGTAAAACTTTCTTGAACCTGTATTTATAAATGTTTTAAAACTCTATCCTTGAGCCTGAAAACCAAGTTTGCATGTTTTTTGGGGTTTTTTTTGTTTTTGTTTTTGTCAAGGATCTCACCAAATCACTTCAAGGGCCACAAAGGGCCCCCAGACCACATTTTGGACACCTTTGGATTAATGGAAACTTTATAAGTGCTGCGTTCGATCATCAGATTCTGTCCTGCTGGATTGTGAATCAGACTTTTGTCTGATTCACAGAATTTGCATATTGTCATCTTCTTAACATGATAGCCCCACCCTCTCTCTTGGCTGCTGCTTTCTGATTGCTTCATCCAACACCTAGTTGGATGAAGCAATCACCCAATTGGGTTGGTAGAGGTTAGGGTGTGGAGCATGTGGTTAGCAGGTATGCAGTCTCTTTGCATACCTGCTAACTACATTAGTTTAACTTTCTATTTGAAACTGTATACATTTAAATCTGTTGAGTCATCTGTGGTTCATTAAAACAACAGAATTTGCATATTGTCATCTTCTTAACATGATAGCCTCAGTCACAATTTGCCAAGTGTGTGTGTTTTTTTAACGTAAGTCAACAAAGTCATTGACAAAAAAAAAAACCAAACAAACAAATAAAAAACAGGTAGTGCTTTTTTTTCTTTTCAAAATCACTTTTGGCCAAAAATGACATATTATTCCGTTATTCTTCTTGTGCATGCATGAGCTTTCTCGGGGTACTCCACTTTCCTCTCAGTTCAAAAACATCCATATTAGTCTTGGCTAAATGGTGAAAATGACACTGATCATTTTCTTGCACATTGACCTGTGGATGTTTGCGCCACATGTCTGTTTGTTAACCTTGTAAGCTGAAGATTTCTCAAATTTCTGGTAATTAGACCATTAAGAACCAGTCGCTGTTGTCTGAACCACATTGATCTCCACAAATGAAATGCTCAGCGTTAGCCCTGATCCTGTTCTGCAACCCTAATTCCACATTGCCCACATTATGTTTTTTCTTTTCTTGGCTTTACTGTAATGAACAGGAAAAATTCAGATAAATTCAAATAAATTCCAGTTATCTGTTCCCAGATTTACACTTATTTCCAATCAGATTCAGTATATGGGAGGTCACAGCGCAGCTTGACTTTGACTCAGTGTCTAGGAGACTGTTTCTAAAAATAGAGGAGTTTGAGGACCAGACTGCTTCTGTTAATTCAGGTCAGAGGGGGAGAAAAAACAAACCCTAATCGATCCAATATTTTTAAAATGAGCCGATCATGTCAGACCCGACTTTCACCCACAGCGATTATATCTTAACGTTTGCAGTGCAGACTGGAGGACACATACTGTTTGGGTCAGTGGTGATATTATTATTATTAATAGATCAGTGGAGGGACGTTTGGTGCCAAGACCAAAGCCCCTCCTGGCTGATGGATACAGAATCATTCTGGACAGAAGTTCATAAGGTCAACACAATGTTAAAGAGAGATGGAAAATGGATATGGGGAGAATCATGTGACCCGAGAACTTGGCAGGATATCAAAAGTTTAAAACTCAACTGTTCAGAGTGGTTTGCAAAAGTTTTTTTTTTTTTTTTTTTTACTAACTAAGCATTCTCTTGTTTGGTAAGAAAAGCGTGTTGTGATCATAACCAGCTTCTAATAGATTCTGTCAATTTAAACACAAATATGACACATGCACTCACTTAATCATGTTCTCAAAACTCTAGATTTAAAATGTTCTTAAATATATCAGCTAATGGAGGCTCTCTGTCAGAGAAACGAAAGAAAGAGGGTAACATACCTGGATGAAAGCTGCTGCCTTCTGACTGAAGGTTACTGAAAATCAGCTTTTGAGTCTCCTCTGTCGTTGGCTCCGCCCCCCCCCCGCCCCGCCCTCTCCAAACTCTACTCCACTTGTGGGAATACAAATTGAGGGCCAATCACAAGTTAAGACACAGTTATAAACCAATGAAGGCAGAGATCTCCTGTAAACAGAGCCATGATTAACTTTGATGGCTCTAATATCACCGTCTGGTTTGACCTTCACATTTACACATGATCTCTTCCTCTCTCCTTCAGTTGTCTCAAACTCTGCTGCAGCTTCAGAAATAAAACGCAACTTTCACACGAGCGGAACTCTGACACTGAAGGAGATTAGATGCATTTTCCCAACAACTCAAAACACTTTAATGTATGGAATTATTGTTTCCATGTTCTTTTTACCTCAAAATGACATTTGCTGAGCTTCTGTGTACGGAAAGCCAACAGTGCAAATACTAAGTCTTGTCCTTTGATATTTTTTTTCTCATTTTGTCATATTACAACATCAACTTGTATTTAATAAAACTTTATGGTTAAGAAGTAGAAAATAAATGATGGATGCATTATTTTCTTTAATTATTCATTACCAAAAAAAATCCAGGAAGTGTCAGACTTTAGACAGAGCTTCCAGGGACTGTCGCCCAGGGCAACAGGTTTTGGATTATTTTTGTAAGAAATGCATGTTTTGCTTTTTGCTAAAACTCAAAGGCCCAATTTTCATTTTTACAGACCGTGGCCGTCTTTAGGTTTTCACAGAAAGTGAAGCTTTAATTATTTTTCTTCTTCTTCATCAATGATCTGCAACAACATTCGTTTCCCTGAAAGTTTTATTTTCAAGCCTTTAGTTTGTAAATGTCTGTACAATACACAAATAAATAATTAAAAAACAATACAAGTTGAATAAAAGTATGCAACAGTGAATGAAAACAAGCTGACTCTAATGCAAACAAGTTACAGAAGATTTCAGAAAGGAAAGAGGCAAAAATGAATCTACAAAAACAAGTCAGCTGCATCTACAAAAATAAACTAATAGTAATATATGCTACTTTTATGATACTAATAACGCTAGAACCTTGCAACATTCTTCTTAAAATTAATAGTGCAAACATGCCACTACAGAGGTACTCTTACAAGTTAAAGGTTTTAAAGATATGATAACATTAACAGGAATTATTATTTACAGTGATGACATCAGAGAAATATATTAACAGTGATGTTTTTCTTTAGGTGGTGTCAGGAGATGATTCTTAAAAAATATTGATCAGAAAAAATGTGTACAAAATTCTTAGCAATTCTAAACTAAAAGGAGACGTGTTGTTTGTCAACTTGGATAAAAAAGCTAAATTTGCTAAAAGCCGCTTCAAAAAAAGGGGAACATGCAAGAAAAAAAAAACAGAAGCTCATAACCGATGTTTGATCAGATAGAGTAAATTTACAAGATTAAAAATGAAATTACAGCTGATGTTTCATGTGACCATGAACTCAGAGATCACAAGGTTCACTGTGCGACAAAATGTCATATTTAAAGTCCTAGACAGGTTAAGCTCATTCCAGCTCACATTATTATAAGGTTATTGAAACATTCGTTAAGGAAATTCATTATTTTTGGGTGAGACCATCAGAATGCTCTCCTAAAAAATTTCTAAGCTTTCCATCATGTTATAATGTTATTTCGTCATGAAAAACATACCTGGAGTGTTGCCTTGATTCTCTCATGCATATTTGAGAAATCCTTTAATCTCCATGGCAACCATTCAGCTGTGAAAAACGCCTTGGTGGACCAAGCCCCGCCTTCGAGGATGAAGCTCCTCCTCTGAGCTGCAGTTTTCAATCTTCTAAGATTCCCCCTCACAGAGCAGTTTCTTTCCCTCCCCCCACTCAGCTCCTTCAGACTAGCCAGCAGCAATTAGCAAACACCTGCTAGTCAGCTGAGCTCACTGTAGGAGCTACTTCTCAGTCTGAAGTTGGTAAAAAACATTGCTAGAGGGTTACTAGAAGAGCCATGTCATGATGACTTCCTGAAGATGGAGTTTCAGAAAGAGCCGGAGTTTTTAAAGAGACAGAGACCCAATTTCAAGCCTTTATATATCAAATTAAAATTTCTTTAAAATCAAAAATGTCATATACAACATTTTTACATGAACTGAAGGTAACATAGTTACTTGATTGTACTATAAAATGATTTGTGGTTAAAAAATACATAATACTGCCCCTTTAATTTCCTGAATATTCGAATCACACAGAGAAACAATATTAAAATGTGATTAATTAATGCAAAAATGGTTGTTTGATACAATATGAAGAAACAGCTGAACTTTGTGTTAAAGACAAAAAAGACGAATCACAGAGTGACAGCAGCAACATTCTGGTGCTGATGGTGTTTCTACACTCATAAAGGTTTGAGAATATGGCAAGGAGTTGTTTCTGCGATACAGTACAATAACTAGATAAATACCTCAGATCTCCATAAAACAAGGCACATTGTCTCCTGAGTTTCCCCTACTACACCTGCTGATCACCTGTGTGTGACATAAAAGCACAGGCTTTATCTAAAAGGTGGTGCTGTGAGCTGAGAGGTGTGAATCTGTGCAGTAGATGCAGGTTTCTGGTGTAAAATTAACCTGGAGGGACTCGAGGTTCGATCTTCAGTGAGAGCTCATACAGAGTATCTTCATCCATTACTACGGTCTTATCCAGCAGGAACTGAGTTACCTGGATATGAAGTAAAGACTGCTTGAGGAAAGAATTTTTTTTAAAAAAATAAATAAATGATTATTAAAAAAGGCAAACCTTGGATTGGTGCTCTATCCTGTAAGGAGCCTGCTGAAACTGACGAATTTCCCGGATAATATGAGAGATCTGTAGAGGCAGAGAGAGCAACAAAAAGAGAACGGCAACTTTAAGATGAAGCTTTTTCATACCAACAAATTTGATTTATAAAAAGCCATGTGCCAGATAATTTTTTTTTTAAATGCTCAGAAAGTAACATTTTCTTAAACAGATATGTATTAGGTGTTAAGGATAGATGCTTATTTATTTAAAAAGTTTTTTCCATTCATCTTAATTTTGCAGTAACTAGAACCTCCAGAGCAAATCTTGAAGCCAAAAATAAAAAACAATCGACTGTGGGCGTGTCTTATGACAACATCTCGCAAAACCTTTTTTATGTTTTTTGTCCTTAATCATTTACTGATCCATTTTGTTTTTATCTCATTAGTTTTTTGTTTATTAGTGAGCAGATAAAATAAAAAAAGGCATAAAAAAAGGCACAAAAAGTTTGTTTTAAAAAAGTGTTACAATAACAACATAATGTTTTTGTTACCCCTTGCCATCATCATTTGTGTTGATTCGCTGTGGTTTAAACTTTATGAAGCAAAAATATCCCCAAAAAACATTCATAGACATCCTACTTTTAATTTTAGAAAGTATAAACCTCAGAGATAGTTAATGTTTTTTTTTAAATCTTCAGAAAATAAGCTGAGCCTGATTAAAATGTATTGACAATAAAAGCCAAACTCCAGAGAGTTGTGTGTGTTTTGGGCTGTAGGACAGAAAGTCTTACCATTCTCATCTTGGAGAAGTTGACCAGCCCCTCCTCGGTGAAGTTTGGCGTTCCCTCCTCGATGAAGGCCAGGTCAGTCAGGTACATGCCCAGGTACGGCACACATGGAGGGTTGCAGCTGCGCACAAGGAGGTAAAAATGATCTCATAGTGGTGTCAGCATCATGCTGTAGGGCAGAGGGTGACTGTCTGTGACTGTAGCTACTTTTTCAGCGTCTCTCTGAGATTTTTGAACCTCCCCTCTGACGATACGATCTTCTGAAGCCGGTCCATCAGCGCCTTGGTCTGAAAACAAAAAAAACAAAAGACAAATCGTAACGTTGGAGGTTTTCTGTGTGTGTAAGGTAATATTAGTACTGCGAGCTGATTCAACTAAACCTGTTTGCAAACTTTAGCCCAGGTTTTCTTCAGCCTGTAGATGGCGCTGCGGTTGAGAGCAGAGGTGATCTCCAGCACGCCGTTGTAGTTGTTGAGGCAGCGACAGATGTCGGCCACGGCCAGCCACTTCTCTATGGAGCCGGCCCGAGAGCCCACGTCGCTGTGGGCCATGATCTGAGACGCCACCAGGTTGCTCATCTGACGAGATTTCACAGGAATCACAAGACAGAACAATCTGATATGCTAAAACTGTTATTTTTGATCCATTTTTACCATCATGTTGGTCTGATTCACAAAGCAAGAAGCAGTGATGATGTGCACTGATTGTATAATATAAATCCCCCCAGTGTTTTTTGTTTAAAATAAATCAAAGCCACATGTGTCAAACTCCAGGCCCGCGGCCCAAATTCTGAATGCTGCAGGTATTTCTTTGGTCCTCTAGATGACATGGAAAAGTTTTGGAACTTTTCCATATCATGGTTCCCCGAAACAGCATTAACCTTTGACCTGGAAACCTTTTTCAAACCTACAGACAATGTGGCAAAATATATAAAACTCCAACTTGAAGAATGTTTTTCTGACTTTTATTCACAATTTTATATGTCACAATAAGAACTAAATCAAAAAATTGCGTGATAAATTAAAACAACCTCAATAACCATTTGCATGATTTGTCGTTTTGTGTCTTTTCTCTTTCTACCATAAACTGGATGACAAAAGTCTTCAGTTTGGTGTTTTGGTCTCAACCAAAACCTTTTCTTTAAAGGACAATTTTGTTTACAGAGACTTCGTCATTCATTTTATTTTTTATTTCTGGTGTTTTGTTTATTTGTTTTGGATATTTAAAACATCTTCCAGTTCCAGTGTTAAATGTTCATGATGGTTTAAAGTTTGAAACGGTAGCTTTTGGTGAGTTTTCTGCGAGGGTTTCTTACATCATTAAAGTGCTGGCTGGTCTTCATGATGTATGGAGTCCTTTCAGTCTTGTCCACCTTCATCCAGCCCTGACCCAAAAACTCCCTGAGTGGACACAAAGTGAGATGGTCAGTCAATCTGAAAGGTGATCATTTAATGTTTTTTCACATGTTAGAAAGCTCTGTATAAATGTGACACTGAATGAAAGGGATCCATGGTTTAATTAATTAATCTTTTGCAAAACTGCTTCTCATTATAATCACAGCTGCACATCTTACATGATTTGTCTGTAGCAGCTTTGAACATCAACAGACTGAAATGTTTGCATACTTTTCTTTGAAAAGTAGCTGCAGCTTAGTCAGATTTTAAGGAGAATGTCTCTGAATATTTTTCTTGCTACAAAATATGTAAAGAAACAATAACTTTCCAAATGTTTCTCCTCACTTTGATTCACTATTCGATAATTGTTGCATTTGGTTAGCATTTAATGTTGCCTGGTATCTTCTGGATTTAGTTGGCTGTGAGTTCTGTGGTAGAAGATTTTTGACTTTATTAATTTGATGTTTATGTCATAATATTACATCAATATATTTATGTTATGTGATAAAAAATGTTCCACCACAATCCCATATTTCGATTATTATAAAAATATGTAATAATTCTATTTATCACACATCAAATTTTATTTCATCTCCACAGTTCCTTCAGTCTTTTCTTGACAGAAACTTTCCCACTTCACGCTTCCTAGCGATGACCAGCAGCCAATCAGAAAGATGAGCCTGGCAAATAACATTTCAATAAATTATTTTAACTTATGTTTCATAATAACAATTTGAAAACAGATTACAATTTATTTTAAAAACATTTAATAGAAATTTATGGCTTAATTTTTTTTTATTTTTGCATTTCCCCCCTCTTCATCTTCCCTCTAACTTTCTGAGGCCTCTCTAGCTCCCCCTGCTGGCCTCCACAACACACAGCTCTAGAAAACCGCCTCACAGCAGATTGATATAAACTAAAATGAAATTAAAGACAGGGAAACTAAACTAGTTGTTTAATGTGAAAGAAAATATTTTAATGATCACAATTATGATCTGTATTGTAGTGAACTGCCATGTAAAACCTCAATAAAATGCATTGAAGTCTATTTAGTAATGTAACAAAATGTAAATAAAGGTGATCTGCTGCTATTAATCCTGTCAGATTATCATTACTTACTGTTTTATATGAGTTATTTTACCCATTCCAGCTGCTGTTATTTCTGTAATGCTCGGATAGAGTTGGACATATTTTATCTAAACAAAAACCTCCTGGAGCCGATTGATGGTACAGTAGTGGTTAGTCGTGTACTCACTCATAGGGAATGCTCCTGAAAACGATGTGATCCAGCAGCGTGATCTGCTCCGCCATCTCCATGGCTGAGAGGGACTCGAAACACTCGGCTTTAGGACTCTCAGCCTTGTTCACACACAGACATACATCGGCTTAATGTGTGGGAAGCGCAGCATAAAGATCGCTAACAACTTTAAATCTACAGGAAAGATCACTTCCTGGTGGACGTTTAACAGGGAAAGAGAGAGAATTATCCTTACCGCAATGAAATGCAGAAGAGGGCAGCTTTTCTGTTTCATTATAACAAGAGAAGTCATTTCAAACTTTTTTTGTTTCATTGAATGCATTCAATGAAGTGTTTCACATGAACTCACACTGACCATCTGTAGGATGTCTTCTATCCTCAGCTGAGTGTCGTCTGGTTCATCCTGAGAAATGGCACTGCAAAGCAAACCACAGTGTCATTTTGAAGATGCATCAAGGAAAATTCTAAATATCTAACATTTGACAGCAAAATAATTACAACAAATGTGTAAAAGAAACCTCTGACATTATGAAGAGGAGGTTTGCCAGTAAATAGTCTGCACCTTAAAATGTTGGTTGCTGCTTTTCTCTCTTGGGGCAGAAGATCTGGGTCTCGCAGCACCTCCTCCAGCAGACTGATCACTCCTGTCTTCAGCTCGCTGTTCAGGTCAAAGTCCTGACAGAGACACAGAGACACGACATCGGAAAGCTTCAGCTGAGATGATGTGAAGCACACAGCAGAACAGCATCAGAGCAGTCAGTGACATAATGACAGCCAGTGTAAAATCCATCAAGAAAAAAGGAACGTGGTGAGCAAATCTGGTAGAGAAACTAATGAAAAAGTAGGAAAAGAAATTCTGATATGTGAGTTGCAACAGAGGCATTAATAACTCACACATACAAACCACTTATTGGAATTAAACAGTTTTACTTTAATCTTATTGCAATGACCTGATATTAATGTTACTCAGACTCATGCTGTGCTACACAGACGCTCTCTGTTCTCATGAAGGTTGACTCGCCCCTAAAATTACTTTTTTTTAAATAAGTTCTGATAACAATTTCACCATTTGGGATCACTCAGGGATGGTGCATCAAACATTTAGTCAAGGACAGCAAGGATACGTTTAGCTAGATCATGGACAAACTTCCAGAAAACTGCAAAACAGCTGAAACACTGAGTTCCTTTAAAAGCTACCTGTTTAGAGCTGCTTTTGAATCATCATAAATGGAGAATTGACCAATATATTTGATGAGTATTGATGACTTTAACAATCAAAATGACATTATATTTTACAAAATGTAATGTCTGTTATTGTTTTTCACAGTTGTTGTGTTTATGATTTTTTTTATTTTTAGGTTTTCACAATGTAAAGGACTTTGAACGACCTTGTTGCTGAAATGTGCTACATGATTGATTGATCAATCAATCAATCAGATTTTATTTGTATAGCACATTTCAGCAGCAAGGCATTTCAAAGTGCTTTACATAATTAAAATAAAAACAGCATGTGAGAAAGAGAAAGAGATTTAAAAAACATCATTAAAATGTAAACAGTGAGAAAGAGAAATAAAAAGCTGTAGAACTTTAGTTGAGACGCCGTCAACTGGGACTCCAACCCTTTGGACTTTAGTCAAAACGCCGTTTGACAAGGACTCTAACCTTGATATCATGGCAATAGTTGCTTTGTCCTGATTCAGTTGCACACTGAGAGTCTTGCTGCAGGGTTGGAGACCTTGTCCTGTTAGGCGACGGGGCCTGGATAATACCCGTGTTAAACAGACGGCGGAGTCCGGCGACAACAGGCGCTTAAATTCCGTAACAAAAGTATGTTTTTATCTTTTTTTTAATCTTTTTCTTTTTTTTCTTTTTCCAAAATCTCTTTCTTACTGTTTATTTAATGTCACATGCTGTTTTTATTTTGTTTTTTAATTATGTAAAGCACCTTGAAATGCCTTGCTGCTGAAATGTGCTATACAAATAAAATTTGATTGATTGATTGATACACCTTTCATCTCACTTACATCCTCAGTACTCAAAATGGTGGAAATCAAAAGTGACACATCATAAATGTGACTTGATGTTAGTACAACTTTGTTACTTACAATTAACTAATTTGGACACCTCAACACTAGAAGAGCTTCACATTTAACTCATCAATATAGTGTTAGAAACCAAACCAAATTCATATATTTTTCCATTCACTTTAATAATTTGTGACTGTGGAAGGTCAAAAACACCTTGCCCTCCTAAACCAAGAGCTGTTTTTCTCAGCCGACCCGAACAAGTTTACTTTTCCAGGCAACAGCCAGCTACAAAAATAGCTCCTTATATAATCTTAGACAAAAATGATAGTTCTCTGAAGCTCCCTGGGGATGAAGCTGACCTTTCTGCGTGCGTCCATGGTGGGAAGGACACGCAGTGCAAAGAGCACCTCTGTCACGGAGAGCAACGACGGAAGAAGAGACGCAGCAAGAGCGAAAGCAACCAGCAGCTTTTTTAGGCGTGCTCCTCAAAGGGGGGCTGTCTCTTTCGGCTGTATGTGGAAAGCACTGAGGGACGTGAGGAATAATTGGAGCCATGGTAACCTACAGGCCCTACCTTTGTTTTACCACATTAGCAAACAAGGTAGAATTAAGATGTATTTTCATACTGTAGTATAATATTACTATAGAGCGTTCTTTGAGTTATTTCATGCTTTATTACATATTTTGGTGTTACAATATTATGACTCAAACTAATCTGAATGAGTCGAAAACTACCTTCTGTCACAAACAGAAGTAGGTTTGTGACAGTGTTTGTGACAGAAAAGACATCAGTCTCCTAGTGCTAACTCAGACAGGTGCAGGTTGGACCAACTCTGATACAAGGAAAATCCCCAAAATCAATCCAGTGGTTGGTTATCTTCTTAAGCATGTTTTTGCTAGGATACATACATTACTAAAGTCTGACTGATTGAAACAGACTGTGGATATGGAAAGTGTTTCCTCTTTGACTCACCTGGGAGTGTTTAGAGACCCAGTGCCGCAGGACATTCAGGACTCTGTTGGTAGCAGCTCTGCGGATGATGAATTCCTTATCACATGTTTTCTCAGAGTTACTAAAACCTAGGAGAGCAATAAATAAAAATAAATAAATAAATCCAGATTTAGTTAACAGACACCTTCTTTGTGAATTTTGTTCTTTGGTTCCTTGAAAATGACTTCAATCCAGACACACATATTGAAGAAAACTCTAAAAACATATTACTACATTTTCTAAATGTGAGACTTTTAAAGTAATTACTATAATAAAGGAAGTAAATTATGTTCTGTTTGTATTTATTTTTTCATTGTAGCTTGCTTCAGGCTTCTAAACCATCGATTTTAAAAACAAATGTGCTTTTAAAACAATAAAAGCTTATTAGCTCATTAGAAATCTCCTACACAGGCAACCACTTCCTTCCTCTTATCTTTAAATTATGTTCTGTTGTCCTTTTAGCTTCTCCCCTCCACATAATCCAATGAACACCACAAGCGGAGCTCCCTCCCTCCGCTACATCCGCTGTGACCTTCAGGATTGGACATGCTCACCCTGCGAGCTGCTGTGCCCTGCGGCCGCCGTGGCGATGGCGAACGCCGACGCTGGCGACATGGTGCAGCGAGAGTTCTCCCCGGCTGCCACTACAAGCAACCAAAAACAGTAAAACCTTAATGGTAGATCTGCTCCAACGGCTCTTAAAAGGGCAAACACCCTGTTCAGAAGGACAATAGATCTCATTGTATTAACTGGTACAAATCTCAATCAACACTATATGTCATTCTAAACTGCAATGGAAACATTTTTCATCCATCACACTAATCATGAGATCAACAGGCAGATGTTACTACTGGTGGAAATGACGAAGAACATGACAGGAAGTGGTTGGGGGATGATGGCAAGACATGTCTTTAATTGATTTATTGTGTGAACAAACTTATTCACATGTGATTTTAGTTTAGTTTCCTATTAAATGGAAACAACACAATTGTGAAATTGTGCTTTTTCGACATTAGTGGATTATCAATAAAGTTTGGCACACATTTGTAATGAAATTGTAGCTATAGAATCAGAGAAAATGTCCAAATTATAAAAGGAGCTTTTGCAAAGTAGAGAAGGCAAAAATTACCATCCACTTTTATGATACTGTTAGCATCCAGCTAAACAAGATAGATAGATATAAAATGGTAAATTCTCAGCAACAAGTTTTTGTGTCCTTTTTGCAAATTGAGTTGTTTTTCACTTGACTTGTGCAGAACAAATGTGACGTGAAAATGGTTTTACAGTTCTTTATCACAATTAAACTTCTAGATCTTTGTTAACAGCTGTAAATGTAATAAGGCAGTGCAGTGCGGTGTGGTGCGGTGTGCTGTGCTCGTGTAGTTTTATTACCTCCAGACTGTCTGTAGCGGAGATGTCTGGGTGTGGATGGGGAGCGGCAGGGGGACAGGTCCCCCGGCTCGGTGCTGGACGGCGACTCAGGGATGAACTTGTCCAGGGATACTGACTCCAGAACAGCTGTGAGAGAGAAAAGGTCAAACATCCAGTATGAGTCCAGGTGATTTCCATGTTGTATATATAGTATCTATATATGAGTTTACAAGGATGGTTATTTTAACATGATCTAAAAATGCTTTAGTGAACTCTCAGGTAATAAGCTGCTATTTGAGATGTCAGCCATTACATGTCATCGTTCTCTTCTCTTTCTCTAACAGGTTCCTGTCTTTTCATGTTTTCTCTCTCCTCCCATTTTTTGGTCTGGTTCTCTGCTCCTGTTTTACTAGTGATCATCCTTCGTACTGCAGACACATATTCATCTACAGGCCCGATTATTCCTCTGAAAGAGAAATGCTGACCCATTTATGTCTTTGCTAGAACACAATAAAAGACAAAGTCAGAGTCTGGACTAATTAGCTGCAAATGAATTATGAACATCCTTCACATTGTTTATGTCAAGATTTCATAGAGGGAGGAAAGAAGGATGGAAGCAAAGGAGGAAATGAGGAAAAAGAGAACAAAACAAAAAAAATGGAAGATAGGAACCAGGAGAATCAAATGAGCAAGAACGGAAAAATGGACTAAAAAGAAACCAAATGAAGGATTAAATGAAAGGAGTGAAAAATAATTTGATGAAGGGAAACATCGGAAAGCAGAGGGATGGATGGAGAGATTGATGGACATAAATATTAAACCATGGAATATGAAATGAAGGAGAAAACTCAACTTCTAGAAGATCGGAAGTCTGGACATAAAAAAACTTTTCCCTTCTTTTATTTTCTATTTCTTACACCTTTCTCCACAGGCCTGGTAAAAACTTAGATTATATTCCAGACTGTTTATAGGAACACAGTCTGCCAGCAGCTTAAAGCAGCATCTACAGCAGCAGTCACAAATATCCAACGTGTTTACTGCATGTAAAGCTGGAGGAGTGTGAGCGCTAACTGTTAGCGTCTTCCTACCTCTGCGGATGCTACGCCTCAGCTTCCCACAGAAGGCGTCGATGCGCGGCAGCTCTCCGCTGACGTCGTCCCCCGCGGCCGGACTCAGCTCTGGGGAGCTGGGGCCCCGGCTGAGGTCCAGCGGGGCCCTGGTGGAGGCGGGAGGCGGCGAGGACACCCCGGAGGCCTGCGGGAGGCTGGGGGAACGCGTGGTGGTGGGCGGGGGCGACGAGAAGCCGAACGGCAGCCGGTTGAAGCCGGGCGGAGGAGAGGAGATGGAGGGGCTGTGGCTGGAGGTGGGGGAGTTGGCTGCGGACAGCGGCGGGGTGGTGGACAGGTCCAACGCCCCGACCTTCACGCCCACCGGTGAGCTCAGGGACAGCTTTCGGCAGTGCACCGGGGAGGAGGTGCGGGACGGGATGGAGATGGGAGGCGGGGAGGAGAACTTGCGGCAGAGTCTGGGGGATTTGTTGTTCAGCGGGTCGGATCCCCAGGCGCCCTGGTTGGTGGCAAAGAAAAGCTCCAGAGACCTGAAAGAAACCAGAGCGGTCAGTCCACAGCTCTGACTAGGAGAACCACGAGTCATGGCAACACTTCATCTGAAGGAGTGTGCTGTAGACTGACATGATGACTCTGTCATAAACATGACACAACATGACCGGTACTGACCATGAAGGTGTTTGCATAAATGTTTAACACTGTAGTCATGAAATGGCATTCAGTAAATAATGACACTTTTAATACAAATCTGCTTTAAAAGTGTCAACTTAGCATGAAATGTGTCATTATTCACCAAATAATTCAAAGTTGACACTTTTAGTTCAAAGTGGCGTTAAAAGCCTTCACTTTGTATTTACCGTAATGCACTTCATGACAACACTCATAAATACTGATGAAGACTCCTTCATGTTTATGACAGCGTCGTCATGCCAGTCTTATGCACACCCCTTCAGATAAAGTGTTACCCAAATCACTCCCCCAAAGCCTTCTGATGGTATTTACTTGGACTGGTCCAAAGCCAGCTGTGTGATCTTGAGACTGTAGTCAGGACAGAGAGACATGATGGACAGACGGTCGTATGAGTGCTGCTCGATCCTGAGGCGGGGCAGCAGTGTGAGGAAGATGAAGGAGGGGGAAGTGAAGAAGAAAAGATGGAGTGAATGACAGGATGAAGTGTTAGGCATGAGGAGGACAGAGACACAGTGAGGACGGATGAACAGGATGGAGTCTGGGGTCAGTGGGAGGAGTATCCTCATTGTTTTTGAGGCCTGAATACCTCACAGGAATGGAGGTGAAGGGTTTCTTATAGATGTCGGCCAGTTTGTCGATGACCACGGCGGCCGTGGTGAAGATCCGGTACGTGTGGAGGAAGGTGTTGAGGAAGTCGATGGAGAGGAAGCGCAGGTCGGTGAGGCGCTCCAGCAGCCGCTCCACGCTGGCGTATCTGATCTGAGGGACTTTGCAGGAGTTGAGCGTCTTGCTGAAGCAAATGTCGACGTCGTCTTTATGCAGCCTGGCGTCGGACCTTGGAGGAGGAAAAACAACAACAAATTTGACTTAAATCCTTGTGTCTTTTATAGAGGACAAAGCTAGGACTTATTATTTGTTATTGTCCAGTTTGGACAATTCATCTGTTTTAATATCAGGCAATGATTTAGAATAAACAGCTCAGAAATCAGAAATTTGTCTTAAAGAGAGAAAGACATTTTTACTCATAAAACATCTGAAAACCATGTATTATCTTATTTTAACTTCATGAATATTCAGCACTTTGTTTTGGTCTATCAAATAACTAAAAATGACAAAATGTGAAAAAGTTGGAAGGAATATGTAAAAGTGGTCATTTATCATATAGTTTATCATTTATTATGATACATTTTTATCATAACTCTTATCATGATATGAATTTTGATTTATCATTAATAAATTCCAATTCATAATGTTGAAGAAAACTGTCTGTATTGTTAATTTTCTTCAATATTTGTTCAACAAGAATATCAATAAATATAAATACATTTGAAAAAAAATGACTAAATGCAGTTACTGTGTGCAGTTTAGTGATACAAATAATTTTTTTTTTTTATGTGACTGGTTTCCTAAAGAAAAAGGGGGAATGTTTTTCTAGAGCAGTCTTTGTGTTTGTGGGGCTATAATTGCTGTGACACACAGTCATACTCATACATTTACCTAAAAAGGAAGTAATAAATAATTCTTATAGTCACTTTTATTGTTTTCACAACAGTACCACAAAATATCAGGATAAAACTGTAAGTCTATATCACTCAGCCTAGAGCTTTGGAAAATTATTCAACTTCATTGTTTAAAATTTTCTTCTCATTGACATAATGAATCCACCATGATGTGAGATCTGTAAATCTGTCAAATGTAAGACTTTAGCACAGCCAGAATGAGATCATTTCCTCACTTGATCATGTGGGGCACAGAAACTTTAGAGTTCTCCTCAAAGACGCTGGTCATCAGGCCGTTACAGCGGATGTTATCGATGCACTGAAGTGGAAAGAAAACACACACACACACACACAC